ACACCAGGACATTTTGCTGCACTCTATTAACAGCCTGTTTTTACAAGTGAGAAGAGTAGGCCAACAGCAAAACAATTTGTTCTCTCAAGATAGTTCAGATTTTTCTTCAAAATCTTTTTTAAATGTCTGATTATTCAATAAAATAACACAGGATATAATTTATGCATTTTACTTAACAGAAGCAGTATGGGATGAAGCATCTTCTCACTTCCTTCTCCTGTACATCTTAATTTCCAAACTAAGAATTGCTACTTCACCAAGACACTTATTTTAGGAAAACTAGAGTTTACAACCAACCTTAGAAATATCAAGAAAAGCAGAGTGGGCAGATAGTTTGATGTTTTGTGTTTGTTTTGGGGTTTTTGATTGCTAAAATAAAATTACAGCTTTCAAGGTACAAGGCAGAAAAAACACCTTTACTAACAACTGCTGTAAAAGACATACACTAACCTGCCCTTTACAATGAAGTCATCTGCATGAYTTCTGACAAGTCTTCTTTTGTAGTGTTTCACATTGAAACAAGCAGTCTAATTCTACAGATAAAATCCCATTCAGAAAACATAGTCAGAAAATCACTCAGATCAAGTATTCATATCAACTCTGGTTACTTTATTTTGCACCTGTGCAGTCAGTTAAAAGAACAATTAATGATGAAAACAGACAACCACAGAAGCTTTAGGTACAGTTTTGTAACACTGAAGAAGCAAATGACCACACTGAACACATTCTTTATGCTGGTCATTTCAAAACGAAACAGAAGGACATACAYCAGTCTAGTTCAGTGTAAAACCTGATATTAAGCAGCAAGGTGATCACAAATTGCAGCACTGTCACATACAACACAAGTAATTAATTACTGCTTATTCAAAGTTACACAGCCCCTGCAACCAAGATGATATGACTATATTTAAAATATGAACCCAAAATACATTCAAGATAATGGCTGCAACAATAAGGCAATAGTTTTAAAAATAGATCCCACTAATCAAAACAAGACCCACTGTGTCACCTGTTGCCATCATAAGGTTTCCAGCTTGGATGGGTCAATTCAATGTTAAATGCTTACCCACCACTACYGTTTCAGAAGGACATTGGTAAGAACACCTGAAGACATGAGTTTATCGGACTGCCAGCAATCAAAACCCAGGTCTTATCATAAGTACATTTCCCAGACACACAGCTTCATTCTTACATGTTTGCATGAAGTGTCCTGTACAAAGATTTCACTACAGTTTCCTTCAAGAAAAATTATGCATTGACAGAAGACATTAAGATTCCAAAATTCTTCCAAACCACATTATATAATATACCTTTGGCCTGCTACTAGYAAGATCGTTAAAGCTATACACTAGGCAGACAGTGTTATTGGCAGCTACATCACAACATTAAAAAAATAGCATCAGCTGTTAAAAAAAAAAAGACTGAAAATAATTTTGGGGAGTGAAATGTACACCTACAGACAGCAAGGAAGGGAGAAGGAAGCTACTTGGCTAGAGCAGATGAGCTACCCAGAGGTTCCACGTCCACCTTATTGCATATTTGATGAATGTCTGCATTCAAACCCAACAGATTTCTCCTTCATTATCTTGCTCCAGAGTCTTGATTGTTGAGAACTACCCTGAATTAGCTATGTACATTGCTGTAACTTCACATTTCTTTACAGCTCCTAGAAGCAGGGACTCAGTTACTGTTTCTTAGCCAGAGACACCACAGGCATCAGCCTTTTGCTGTCTTCTGTGCACTGAAGTCTAGCTAAAGTGAAGTGCAGTGGAGTGTCAATATCCTATGTCAGTACAAAATAAGTATCTTTATTTGTAAGCCTATATTAGCAAAGCTTAAGACAAAGATGCCAATTTCTTAAGAAAAATGTACCAGTACTGGATTAGCACTGCTAGACTGAAAATCTCACCATSTGACAAGACATAAGCACAGAAAAAAATTGTGACATTAAGTTGTGTGAGGCAAACTGAAAGCAGCAGGGAATAGAATTTGATTGCTTTTGCTCAGTTTGAATAAACTGCAATTTTACTAATTTAAAACAAAAAAAAAAAACCAATCAACCATCATCAGACATTTCCTTGCCAGAACACAGGACAGGGGAGGACACTATCAGTATTTCTACATGTGTTTACAGGATATGTGCATAGCCCTGCCTAATCATGCTTCAAATGTAACCTTATGCTTAATACACACATGCTACTAAATAAAGTCTTTTAGACTCCAACGGAAATTCAGGGCTCATCTTATGTATTTTAATACTGAAACACCCAAATGATTTTAAGAATTGAATGCCCCTTATTGGATTGGACACTATTCACAGCTGACAAATTAAAACATGAAGGCACTAGAAGAGTGCTCTTTTCCCAGATGTAGGCCTACTTGATGAAAAACCTAAATGCTGCTGCTTTTAGCTATATAATTGAACCAAACCACAGTTTTGGAAGTCATAGGTTTAAACTTCTTGACACTGAAAATACAAGACCAATTTTATAGCCCTGATTAAGTTTTTATACACAGAACAATAATCCAAACACTACCACATATCCAAACTTAGAAAACTGAAGCTGTTCAAGTCCAGATCTGTTGGTAGTTCTCTCTCATACACACATCAGAGGTGGTACATACACATTYCTCCTCTTTCCAAAATCTCATGCATCAATCTTCAGAGCTGCTAGATAAACAAAGTGGAGCTCTTCATTTGGAAGCGCAATGKCAAAATAGCTGTATAACTCATTCTCAGAGAAAACTGGAGCACCTGCTGATTACTGGTAAAAATCCGTAAGTCCTCCAGCAAACATGAGGCACCRAATTCCCTGCTGGAACACCATCAGAGTGTCACAGCAATGTCTGCCAAACTGGTCACAGAGCCTTAACTGCTTCCAGGAGAAAAGTTATGTTAGATACCAAATACCTGATATAAAGGTGTACAAGGAGAGCTAGAGAAGTGCTCAGTATCCAAATACCAAAGATGACACTTCAGAATACTAAACAGTGAGTAGTGCATAACCCAGTCACCTTTCTATCTCCAGCACAGGTTGGACTTGGAGMAAAAGGCTCAGGAAAAACATTCAGAAGCCTAGCAGGACTGTTTAACCTGTAACCCTTCTTATATACCAAAACCAAGAAAACAGGTCTGATGGCTTTCTTTGCATCTCCTTCTTTTTTTTTTAAAAAAGAGGAGATGATGAAAACCTCCAAATCATGTGCATCTAATATTGATTTTTCATATTTCATTTATGCTTTTTATATACACAAGAACCTAACTAAAATCTCACTATAAAATAACTTCTAAAGCAGAATATTCTTTCAACTGGTTTTTAAGTTCATGTGCTTTCTCAAGTTTGAAAAAATATATATATTCATATACAACTGAGGAAATAAAACTCAATTTCACTATATGTAGTTACAGTGCTGTAAAGAAAAAAATAATTTATAAACTATTTCAAGTCTGAAATGTTATGTTCAGACTAATGCAAAGGCTAAGCCTATGGTCCAGGACCTGTTTTTCATCTAAATGCTGAGACAGGTGATACAGGAGCTCAGCCTTTTTGTGATGGACATTTCTCTCTACCCCATTCCTACAGRATTCTCTGACTTGCTGCTGAAGCCCTCCCTGAACCTCAACCACAGCAGCATCATCCACTGGTAGCTCAGAAGTAAAGGTCCACAGGGATCATTGCTACCTCTTAGGTCAGTTTTTCAGTAAGATCACACCACTGAAGGACACAGTGCAGAGGTGTTAACCATTCACAGTTACTCAGAAGTTCAACGGAGTACTTTAAGTAGTGTCTTCTGTAGGTGCCCTTCGCTGCCGAGCAGATTTCTGTCTCGCTCTCTGAGGTGAGGGTGGAGTTTCCTGTTCAGCTTCAGTCTCTGAMGGCTCGTTGTCTCCCTGCTGGGATCCCGTGTCACCTATCAATTCTCTCAGGAATTTGAATTTAGACAAAAACAATTGCCAGACCACATACCATCCTGCAGAAGAAAGAAAAAAGGTACTGCTCAGTTACTTCATACAAACTGATAATCAGCTCTCAGGCAAAGTATATCAGAAAAGTGAAAAGTTTGATCAGCTCCCATCCTCTACTTGCCAACCCCAATAGCCCTCCTCAACACACCCACTCCTTTCTGAAGTCCTATAAATACCAATTCAACTTCACAAAGTTTGTCCTCATCCAGGAGCAACATTTAAGCTACAGAAAAAGCCCCACACATTCCAAACTGAATTGCCACAGCAAGTAGTAGGTAGGTGATCACCATCGCCACCACACAGATGGAAGTCTTAATTATCAGGAGAAAAGAAGTCTAGTGGTTATATCTCAAACATGGAACAGGATTCGTTACACAGGCACTGTGAAAAGATAGCACTAGAACTTCTACACTCATTTCTACACTTCATTCTGTAAATCACAATTTTAAAAGCTGCATTACATAATCAYTATTAAGCATACTTGCTGAGATCTTCAAATCAGTACCATGTTTTATAATAAATCCTATTCTGAAATGGACACGTCTTCCTTATGTTCATAAAAAGACCACATCTAAATTCAAGGAGCCCCGTCCCCATGCCCAAATCCCACTAAAGTAAAATTCACATCCTCTGCTAAATTTGTGTTCTGCTCCACTGCTAAAATACTCTAGCTCCCAAAAATATGCAAGTAAAGAACTGAGATGGCCACATTTTTAGAATCTCTCTTAGAAATACTTAAGATCCTCCTCCTCTCTCTTGTCYAAGTGTTGCTGTAACAGGTAGCCAAAAAAACTTTGAAAAGAAGATAGAAATATATTAAACCTAAGCCAGAATCTTAATTTTTAAAAGAACATAGAACAGGAATACAACTTCTCTATGAAATCCAGTTAAGTGGARCAACACCAACAGCCACCTGTCCTGCATGGAGCTATATATTCATAGTCCCATTCTATGTTCAGAAGATCTTGCCAGCTATTCAAGCCTATACTGCTGGCCTATTCACATATTAAGAGCTCTATTTTACAGAGCAAGGGAAAACCATCCTCTCAATTACACAGCTGCCAGCAGAAACAGACTTCTGAGAATGGATAACAGGACATATTAGGAAGGGGGGAGAAAGACTAATAAATTGCACTTATATAACCACAGCACCTCTACCCATATTCCTCTTCTGTAGTCAGGGCAATCCATTGCTTATGACAAAAACAAGATCCCACCCTTCTCCTCCTTCCTGGAATACTTTTYACATCCTGCAGTTTTTTAATTTCACCGACTTCTCTACTCCTGAGGAAAGTTGRAGGAAAGCTTTTATATGACAACCTTTTATGATCTAAATTAATTCCAAAAGCCTACACAAATAGTTCCTTTCCCATTAATATCTAAACCCTTAAATGACTTGTGATTAAATTGAATCTGACATCCTGCAAATGCATTACATTCCCCTGCACCTAGGAAAAAAAAGCCCTGATGGTAGATGGATGAGCTTGGCTTCTCTTTTCTTTCAGAACTAGAAGCAAAAATTGAGGTAGCATGTTGTTTCCATTGAAAGATATTTCAGATCTCTAAGACCTTCAATACTTTGTGCATTCTGGAGACCAATCAATCAATTTTTCTTATCCTTCTAAACAATTAGAAATAATTAAATTTTCAAGAGTCATGCTCATTTCTAGTTCACAAGGAAAGAAATGMATGAAATATTTCAAGTAAATACAGGACACTTGCAAAAAATTACAGAATATTACAAGCTGTTTAAAAATGTCTTCACGTCCCGAATTTGTTGACAAAGTTTGAGACACTTGAGTTRGAATACACGAGAAGCACATTTTACTAAATTCACTTGAAGACTTGGTGGAGGAACTCTCAGCCATAGATTTTTTTCTTGGGGTTGTGCTTTACTTGGCTGTTTAAAATCCTGACCTGCAAAGTGAATTATCAACAGACATTACTTCCACAGAACACCACATGCAAGAGGGAGAGAGGAGGATGAGCCAAAAAAATTCAGGGCATTCCCAGAAGTTTTAGGGAGATTTTTGGAAGCATGACTTGAASAGATTTGGTGTAAATATTTAGTGTAAATATATAGTATATTCCACTGAGAGAGGTATTTCAAGCTAAATAAAGTGAACCACRATTCCTCTATCACTGCAAACAAGCTACTTAACACTCAGAATTACTACGGGGTGTGTGTTGGGGAAATACTAAGTAATGTACAAAGTTCATTCACACTCTCAAGAAAAACAGCATTAATTTCTTTTCAGTATTTGTTCTGAGTTAGAGAGCAGAGCAGAATGGTCTAAGCATCCAACCCTGAGTACCATAAATAGACTTTGGAGCTCTCYAGTGCCAGACTCCAAACAAGACAATGCAAATAATCAGCCAACGAAATTGCTTATAGCAGCCAAGCAATCAGACTAGTGGTAACAGGTAGGTGAAACAAACCACAATGCAGTGGGTTTAAAAGAAAGTTATAACAGGCTTAGCCAAAGATTAACAGTGGGAGGGCAACCAGGCTTCAGAATGAGAATTTCAAAACCTCACAAGATCTCCCAGCCTGTAACAGAGACTTTTAGGCATAAAGTAATCACAGTAGAAAAATTTCTTTCTTTCACTTGCTCTAGTTACTGTGCCAGCTTGAATGGAAAGTTAAAAAAAAATCCCAAGACAAACACATTTGTCTGAATCAAGTTAAGACTGCGTCTTCAGCCGAGCCTCCCTGTCACCTTGCTGTTACTAAATAAATAAGAATTTCCTTGGAAATGWCCAGACTACTAAAAAACAAGTCATTCTGGGTAAGAAAAAAAATCACTCCAGCAACAATATCAACTAAATATATCATTAAATAAAACCACACACACAGACACAAAGCCTGGATGCAGATTCACAGTGCTGAGTTACTTCAGCAAATCAAAGACAATGAGTTTTCTATTAATTTCTCATTCTCTTACTGCAAAATGGTAACACACGGCACTGTGTCATACTGAAGAACTCTAAGTTACTTACCAGGGCATTTTAAAAAATAAAGTAATTGTAAACTAATTCAAAACATATACATACAAAAAAGGAAAATGGGCATTTTTATGCACTCTTGTCTGTATGTGGCTCTGTTTAGCCTTGCAGCTTTTTTGCTGTAGAGTTYTTCCTGGCCAGGTAACTGACACCATTGGTTTGCATCTCTAACATTTCCACTTTGTTTAGGTAAGCTGCTCTCAAAGAAKTCCTACTGGTTTAGCTTCACCACACACAAAACATTTGATTCGAATCAGTCTTTCAGTGCTTGCTTTGTTTTCTTYAGCTATTTGATTTACCTTTTAAAATCATCCATAGCTTGATTGAGCCTGTGGAAGCCAAACAGCACACCCACAACACGCCTTCAACAAACAAGCAGTGATGACATGCAGACTATAACACGGAATACTGCTACACTAATTGGTGAAAGAAGTTGCCTCTCAAAGACTGATTAAACTTACATCAATGCAATGACAAATAGGGGACCCAGCTCTTGCTGTAGCAGGTACTTACTTGATTCAGTGTTGCAAAATCCAATCTACCCAGTATTTTGGAGCTAAGCAAAACAGCAGCTCCCAGACTTGCAGAGTTTAGTACTCAAAAAAAACTGGGAGACACCATCTCACTTAAAAATGCCACAGCCAGATGCTATGCAAAGACATTTAAGCTACATTTGGTACCGTGCCATCAGCATGTCAACTTCCATTTCATAAATCACAATGCAATATGTTTGTGAAGACAGGACTGTGAGTCAAAGCTTTTGACTGACTCATAGCAGTTATATGTAACATCCATGCAATTCAGATGTTAAACAGACTAATGATCTGACTAGATTTCATTAAAACTTTTTCTGTTACTTCCTACAYGAGCTCTTGGTTCTTTGCAAAGGGAAAAGAAACCCTGATCCAACTACAGTGTTTATTCCCACTCCAAAAGTGAGGGATACAAGTGTCAAGCCCATCTATTTCATTCACCTTTCACTGGCTTGTATCCAACAGCTAACAGTTTTCTTTATTGCAGAACATTTTCCTCCTCCACTTGAATCAGTAAAAGCAAAGAAAACAAAAACGCCAAGGCTAACACAGAGTGYTGGGGAAAAGCAGCCTGATTTTTCTTATATGAAATAAAAATGAAATCAAGAAAAGAAGCACAGTGATGCAGTAACAGCACAACACAGAGAAGATACGGCTTCTAGCGCTGACCCTGCTGTGAAATCCCTGTGCAGCCTTGCAAGATCACTTTCCTTCAGGATCCATAGTCATTTGCAAATAGGAARCTTTCACTCCAGAACATGGGAACTAATTTAGAACTGGGTTATCACCATGGTGAATATTGCCTATATTYAAATGCTGAAGTGTCCATCACAGAAAATCCTAAGCAGCTACAGCTGCAAAAATAGGAGCATGCAGATTGAGACAYTAACCTGGGATTTGGGAGAACAGGGTTCTACTCTGATCTCAGACAATTACCGCAAATATGCACAAGTCACTTCATCCACATCTCTGCAACAGTGCAGCACTAATATACTACCCTTTGGGTAGCTTTGCTATGGAGAGGATCAGACTGAAGGAAGCATTCCTCTGACACTGGAATAACAGAGGACATCAGGTGACACGGCGCTTGGCTCTGCACAGCTCCTTAAACCTGGCCCCACTTAATGCAACACTACCACTTGCTGCTTGCTGATSATCAAAAGGAAACTTGCTCTCCTCTCATCTCCCATTTATAACAGTTTCAAAACTCAACTCCAAATTAAAGGATATTTTCRTTTTATGAGTGGTCTAATCAAGCATGACTTTCCTCATATGTTGTATTTCACAAGAATCACTCACTGAAGACAGTAACAAAATTGTTTAAACAACTCATTAAAGAAAATTTATTCAGGTGGAATTTAGGGCTCAAATGTTTTCCTGTCTGCAATTGAATTCAGACTTGTGAAAAGAACCACACATTCATTTCAGCACTTACAGTTACATGATTTTTATTTTAAGGTTGTATCTCTTTAACCACATCTCATTAGCCTCTTTTGCCAAATGAGATGAACACTTCCATCTGTTCCAGTGAAGGCACTTTGGCAATTTCACATAGCTCCATGCATTACTACACTGAGAAAATAAAACAAATACACAGAGGTAAGCAGTACTCGAGTTCACCTTGTCTGGTATTTTATTTTACCCTAAATCCTTGACTATGCATGAGTTCCTCCCACCTCAGAGGTATGTGGAACACACAAAAGCAGCAAAAAGACTACCAGAAAAAGTGTGAATAAAAAAGGTGGAAGCAAGTTATCTTAGTCCCACTTTTAAAAGAGCAWCTAAAAATTTGCTGGTTTTACAGTCCCTTAATGGTTTCTATGTCAGATGTGATCAGTTTACAAATAGAGACACTGCTAGCTGCAAGCCCTTCGTGCTTCCAAACTAATTCAGATTAACACTGAAAGTAGTGCTTGCCAGCATCCAGACATGTTTAAAAGAAAAAGAAATTGGGTCATTTATTCAAAGTATATTTACAGACATAAATGCCTAATTCAGGCATAAGCATTCACTATTCACATTGCCAAAGAACAGGTCCAAGTAACTTCTGATAATTTGTGCTCAGAATTTTGTCTTTTCACTTTAAAGAAAAGGTAAAGTGATTTTTTTCCCCATTATTTAAGTTTTGATAGCACTTATCACACCATATCTGCATGAGCAGCAGAAATCCACATGACCTGAGAATGCCTCACAGATATTTCAGTCTACTGCTCTCTTCAGGAAATCACACCATGAGTTCTTTTATGGGCAGGTCAAAATCCAAATCATAGCTCTTTATGGTCTTGAACCATATCTTGAAATTCCTCTCAAAAGGCTTTTTCAATACCTCTTGTCAGATGCCTGGAAAAYATTCTCATCATCAGATCATGTTTACTCTCGATTATTTCCAGTCCTTCTTATGYCAGATTTGTCCATTAACTTGTACGTCTCACTGGCTGGCATTTACTCACATGCTGTCACACGCAGCACTTGGGCAGTTTCTTCTCCACCTGCTCACCTACAGGTCTCTATTCTTTACAGCCCTCACAGGGACTGGGAAACTGCTTACCACTAGCATAGGTAAGCAATCAAATTCAAAGTAGCTTGTACTCAGATTTTTTTCCCAATAGTGGTCTTGACATTGTTTTCCTTKAATATTTTCTATGGCAAAAGAAGTGCAACTGGTATAACCAATATTAATTAATTAATAAATACAATGTGATGGAAAAAAAATTACAAATACTATAAATCATTATCAAATCCTATTGAGTCACTTCTAACAGGGTAACATTTCAAATCTCTCCCCAAAAAACCAAAGGAATGTGCCAGCTTTCTGTRTTCAGTACATCTGAAACCTAGGTGACTTTTAGCAATCATTTTATAAGCTTTGACACTCATTAAAATAAAATACAATGAAGCATTTGAAATATTCATAGAATTCAAGATGAATGYACAATATTAACTGCAAACTGCTAAGTATTTACAAGCTACTTAAAAATAAAGTTATTAATTACTTCTGCTCTCATTAAGCATGAAAGCACTAGGCAAATGGTGATGTTAGCAGGCAAAGCTAATGCTTAGCATTTCAATTCCATTTGTCATATACAGACAAAAGAAGAAAGGCCTGAGGAAAATGATCCTTGTTTCTGACTTAGAACAGCATATCACAGAATTGTATTACTCTTTCAGCAAGACAGTAAGCAAAGATATTGTATGCATACTTTGGAAATATAAAAATCCTAGCAAGTACTGTGCTTCATCTTCTAMAAGTTGACAATGGCCAGTCAACACCTAATGAAGGTAGAGAAACAWGAATAAATATCCACTTAGGTCACTGTTTAGTCTGTAACAAAGCACAGTACAGGAYATGCAGGAAAAGAGCACAAGACCAAGCAGAGTACAGTCTTGCAATTCCAATTATCAGTGTTTCACAGATTTCCTCACCCAAGATAAGGACCAGGATGCTGATCTTTCTTCCATTAACTTTAAATGACAGAAGTTTCAGCATTCAAAATACTCCTTATTAATGAGCTTACAAATTATTTCCCCATTGTGTAAAAGAAAACTTTTTGTTTTCAGACTGTTGCTTGACCATTTAACCTCRCATATTCCAACTCCTCTGCAACGATGACATTTCACAACACTATCCACTTCACCTCTGACATGCTACTCAGTGGYGTAGCCACCCTTCCTCCAGTCATCTACATTCCAGCCTTGACAGATCTAACCTGTTCAGTTTCTTCATGCAGAAATAACTTCACAGGTCTCAATACAGAATCRATAAGGAAATAGTATCTTTTTAAAAAGAAACTAGGATTTCATTTTTTTTTAATGAGATAATACACTTTAACAAGAAAATACACTTCGTGAGACATTTGTACATGGATGATTCCTATAGCAGTATAATGGCATTTTCTCTTCTATTTCAGGCTTCTAATGTTTCATTTGCTTGCTACAAAGCACTACACAGATAATTTGGGGAAATGCTTGCAACTACCTCAGCTAATCCCTTCTTTGGGACAGTAACAGCTCAGTTTGATTCCATGACATCTCTCCACATAAATGACATGTGTATGCACTTCACACTTTCTGTGTGCATTACTTCATACRTGTTAATACTGGACTTCACTTCTCATTTCACTATCTAGTCCCCTGGTTATGCAAAATCTTTTCATAATGCTTTGTCRTTTAAATAACAAAATTAGCATTTTTTAAACGATTAAATGTCATCTTCACTTTGCTCCCTCAGTTTTCAGAAATCACTTATAAACCCACCTGCCACCAAGTTGGCTGTAAGTCTAATAAGCCTCTCATCACATATCATATTTTGAATTTGATTGTGTGTTTTTTGTTTGTTTTGAGAGCTGCATAAGCTCTGCATATTGGCCAGAACACTCACACAATACACGGCTGATTCCTTTCAAGAACTCCAACAGACCTGCAAGTCATGCCTCCACTGAAAAAAAACATTCTCTCTGCATTCTAAAAAAAATTAAACCAAAAAAAAAAAAGCAAGCCTTGGATGAATCATCAAGGTTGGAGGAAACGTTTAAGATCATCCAGTCCAACGATTCACCCAGCAGTGCCACTGTAATCCCTAAATCACTAAACCATCACCCAGTGSCACATCCAGACACCTCTTGAACACCTCCAGGTGTGCTGACTCCACCACCTCCCTGGGCAACCTATTCTAATGCCCGACCACCCCAACAGACAARAATTATTTTCTAATCTCTAACCTGAATCTCCCCTGTCCTAGTTTAAGGCCMTTTCCTCTGGTCCTSTCACTGGAGGCACAGTAGATGGACGGGCCCTCACCTCACTACAACCAGGTCAGGTGTTTGTAGGGGAGGGTGAGATGTCCCCTGATCCTCCTCCGCTCGATCCACGTAAGAAAAAACCTTCTAAGAGCTGCTTTCAATCAATTTTAGCAAACAGATGTCAGAATCTGAGCGATGTCAGTCGCAAGTTTACTTCTTGCACTCCCTGGCATTTCAGAGCCGTGCGTGTAGAAGCCGCACAGGGTGACTGCTCAGGAGCCTCATCACTGAAAAAAAGTCCTCAGTTTCAGAGGAAACACCGAATTAAACACCGAAGTAGGGCTCTGGGAGTATACCGACGCTGGAAACGACTCGTGAACAAAGAGAAGAGGGCGCTGCGCACCACWCTCGCTCCCCCACACGCCGGGGCACGGTGCCCTTTTCCTCCCCTCAGTCAATCCGAGCCAAGAGGAACCACCACAGATTGCGAGCCCGGCGCGSCGGTGCGAGGGCGGGCGGGGAGCTCCAGCACCGCACGCCGCAGCCGAACCAGCAGCCGCCCCCCCGCGCCCCGGCGCTCACCGCACAGCATGAAGAGCAGCACGCAGGCCAGCGTGGCCACGATCACCAGCAGGGTCAGCCCGATGCTCTGCCACATGGCGCGGCCGGGGGAAGCCCAGAGCACCCAGGCCGGGCCGGCGGCCGCGGCGGCCGCGCTTCTGCTCCTCCTCCCGCCGCCGAKCGACCCGGCGGCCAGGAGGGGCGGAGCTCCCGGATCACCGCACAGGCTGGATGGGAGTTGGGGCATGTTGGGAGTTGTAGTTCATCATTCTCCCCAGCCGGCCCGTGGGAGAGGGCGACTCCCGCCAGCGAGGACTACAAGTCCCGGTGTGCCCTGCGGTGCGGTGGTAGTGGCGAGSGGTGGGAGGGCTGTGTGAGGGCATGGGAGCGGTTGGTGTGGTAGAACCGCGGGCGGCGGCGGCTGGAGCCCTGAGCGGGGCAGGAGGCCCGTAGGGCATTGTGAGAGGTGATTCAGGGCCAGGTTGGACGGGGCTCTGAGCCGCCTGCTCTGGTGGAAGATGCCCCTGCCCGGAACAGCGGGGTTGAAGGTCGATGATCTTTAAGGTCTCTCACGCCCCAAACCGTTCGATGATTCCATCACTCTATAACTTAGATTTAGGAATGGGGCAACCTGATCTCTTTATTCTCTTTCTCTCTTTCGCCATTCCTGCTCCTGCGTCCCCCCAGTGAAATCTATACAGGGGCAGCAGGAATATCCMGGCCTTAGCCAAGGAAGCGATTCACCTGTGCCTCCCCGACGTGGTTCCAATTCCAYCTGACCTTGGCTCTTGCCCTCTGTTGACGTGATGGTGGCATATCAAAGCTGGCCCTTCCCACTAAAAAGAAATCTGAGGAAATAATTTCTCCCAGAATTGTGAGATAATCTTGATTGTGATACGAACTTTGCTGTTAGCACTGGAATAAAGTTATAATTTCCCTTTGTCGTGTAAAAGATGCCGGGTTAATGTTTCTAAAATTACTGGAAATGTGTGTAAATCCACTACTACAGAAGCTTAATTTCTCATGGGCATGCCACCATTGCAGGGGCATGTGAGAGAAAGCTAGTCCACTTCTTTTATGCAGTATTTAAAAATCTCCCCTTTTAAGTGAAGCTAAAACTTACTTCTGTTTTCCTGATCTCTCAGCATGCCATCTGTGCCCTCATTTCAGGATACCTGTGAACCAAAATTGCCTGCACGTGAAGTCACCTGTCCACATGCTTAAATTTGCGGTCACTTTCCCAAATCAAGCTAGAGTTCTCTCTTTCCTATCCTAACCTTCTTTCCTAACATTTCCTGCCCTGTTTAATACTCTGCCTGGAGTATTAAACCACTTAGCRTATCTTTTCAAAGTATGATTTAATTTGAAACATGTTTTTTGTTATTTTTCAAGTTTTTACTTTGATATGTCTCCCGATCTTTCAGTTATTACGATTCTCCCCTCAGCAGTTGTTACATATAGTTAAGCAAAGTTTCTTCTTTTATTGCAAACAAAGCAAAGTTGTAACAGTTGCTACCATATTAACTTTTGAAAAATAAATGTCCCCCTAGTTGTACTGTTCTGTTTCTCTGCTTTTTTTTGCTTATCATCTCCAGTTAGAATAAGTTCTCTGGATATGGGACTGCTACCTTCTCTTTTCTGTAAAATAGCTGTGATATTTTAGGACTATTAAATTTTTTTCATGTGTGTCATCCTATGGTTCCCAACTGGTATAATAATAGTAGTAGTAATAAAATATTAATTCACATCACATCCCCAAGCGTTGCAGAATCACATGGCATTTGGAACTGAAGAAGGAATTAATCTTGGAATCATGTAATTTTTGAGTGATAAATATGTGTGGTCCATGTACACAGGCCTTGGATATAGATTGATATATATATACACATACATATATGCATACATATATATATATGTATGTGTGTATATATATATATATATATATATGATCAAACATGCATAGTACTGTTTAAGGCAATAGGGCATTTCAGGCACATGGTTTGATTAATGGGATGTCCTGTGTCTTGTGTAGGGCCAGGAGTTGGACTCTATGATCCTGATGGGTCCCTTCCAACTCAGCATATTCCATTATTCTAATAGACTAGGAAGTAAAAAATGAAAACAAGTGGCAATTAGAGTTCCCATATGTACCGTACAGGTAAAGGCCTTCTAATCAACGTATGTTTGGAAAACCTTAATTTTACTAAAGTATCCCTTTCTCTAAGATTCACCAGGCTAGTCCATCACCTCATTGTAGAAGGGCATCAGGTGAGTTAGGCACGATTTCCTGTCTGTAAATCTATGTTGACTAGTCACAATTACCTCGACCTTCATGTTTTTGGAGACCACATGAATTCCAGGAGGATTTTCTCTATGACCTTTCCAGGGACTGAGGTGAGGCTCTCTGGCCTGTAGTTCTCCAGATCTTCCCTTTTGCTCCTCAATAGAAGACATGCTTGGTCTCATCCCACCTTCAGCAACCTCTCCCRGTCGACACCATATTTCAAAGCTAATTGAGAGTGGCCTCACAGCGACATCAGCCAGCTCAGTCAGCAATCAAGGGCACAGCCTCTCAGGACCTATGAACTTAAGGTATTTCCATTTTGTTTAGGTGTCCCCTAACCTGGTCCTCTTCCAATAAGGATGAGTCTTCCTTGCTCCAGACTTCCCCCTAATCTCTTGCTTGAGACTGCTGAATGCCAATATGGGTGAACCACTGAAATTGTCCTCAGAACAGGCATAAAAAGGGCTTTCTGGTAAAATGGCTGAAGCACTTAAATGGGAGATAGATGCATAGGTGAGGGGTCGCCAAGCCATGAAACACAAGAAATTCTTCGTCCTCCAATCATTTCGTCAAAACAATCTTTATTATTCTATTTTTCCCAATACATGAAATAAAGCCTTTCTATAGCTTGGGGAAGAGGGGTGCAGATGCTGAGGGCACAAACCTTATTTTCAGGCTGTGAGAGCTGGTGCATCTAAACCAACCAGTTGTTTCACAGCAGCCAGTTAACCAGTGTTTGTGTTTGCATAGCAAGACAAGGGGATTAACCTTATTATCCCTCCTTCAGCAGGGAGAGGGCTGAGGCAGACAAGCATTTAAAGTATCAACCGATTTCTGATTGCCCCTTCTGGCCTTGTTTTGAGCTGGCATGTGGGGAAAATCTCATGTCTCTATTTGTWGCACAGCTTTTGCTGATGTCAGGTACTGCTGTAAGTGCTCAGCACTTTGACAAACCTACACTCGGTTGCMTAGAGGGAGACACTAGAGGGAAAAATTACATAATTAACTAGCTGTAAAAAAATGGTATGCAAATGTCATAGAAATTATTTTCTATAAGGCGTATGTATTCCAGTCCTGAAAAAAGAATTTCAACCACTTAAATTGGTTTTTTGTCCTTTTCCAGACTCTTGCATCATTCATGGCCTTCTGTTTKTTTATTATCATCCACACCCTGCATTGATGAAGCAGGAGTGTTGCTGAAGGCTATTATTGCAAATAAGGCTTAGCAAAATTAATATGGGCAGGAAGAGCAAGTCAAAGCAATCCAGGCGGTTTTTGTTCTACAGTGTCCTAATTTTTTAATCCTTCTCTTGGCACGTACAGAAACTCTGAAGGTAACTGGCAACCATATCAGCTACCAGAGCCAAAATAATGTATAGGAGCTTGACTGACTATCAGTTGCAGCCCAGAAGCTRGGCAAGTAGTAATAGTTCATGCAGAAGGTGCAAATGGTACCTTTTCTGCTATTCAGAATATGCTTGTTGACCTTCCCACTGCTGACTTTCTTTTGGYATTAATACACTTCTCTTTCCTGGGGCAGGAGTACAGAGAAAGAGCTCCCTTCTGCCCCTCTCCCGCTGCATTACATTGTTACTCATCACATTGTGAGCTCTGTAGGTCTCAACACAGCAAGACCATGGCTCCAAGCTGAGTCCTCCAYACGCTACCCTAACACCAAATACCAGCGACTGTAAGAGAGAACATTCAGGTCCATCCACAATTCAAGCAGTTAGCGTCAGCAGGGTCCTCACAGGAGACATGCAGACAGCAAGGAACAGCAAGGAAATGCAGTCTTTTGTAACAACTCACCTTTAGTATTTGCTTTGGAGCCAATAGCTTTTCTCAGTTCTTGGCTTACTTAAATGACAACACAGACTATCTGTATAAAGATGATAACATAACAGGGATGAGAAAATTCTACTTACGTTAATTTATAGRTTACGAAAATACATAACTAAACTGCATCTGTGACTGCAGCCAAGGACTTTTCCCRTTGCAAATGCTTTCTAAGCTTTACCCAAGCCTTTTAAGAGTAAACACCAGCAGTGCTGGTTTGTGTCCGAGAGAGGGTGCTAAAACAAAATATTTACTACAAAAACTTCAGTGCTACACAATTGCTTCGTTCAGTGCTTGCTGCAGCATAAATTTATATTGACTTGGTTTTTATTTTACTTGCTCACAGCTGGCAATTTAATACAAGCTTTAACTTTATGGCCGTATTACACCAGCTGTAGTTTCAAAACTGAAAATAACATTTAGAAAGAACTAACCATTCCACAGAAAAACAAGGGAACAGTCTTCCAAATTTTCACTTTAGCCTGATTACTCAGRTTTGATTCCATGCAGTTTTATTACTGACAGTTCTGTGTTAACAAAATAAACAAAAATWAACAAAAGTTAACTGTAGGAGGGGAAATTTAGGTTAGATAYATAGAAGAAATTCTTTACTATGGGGGTGGTGAAGCACTGAAACAGGTTGCCCAGGAAAGCTGTGGATGCCCCACCCCTGGCAGTGGCCAAGGCAAGTTTGGATGGGCCTTGAGCAAGATGATTTAAAGAAAGGTGCTCCGGCTTATGAGAGCTTGGAACTAGAAGAACTTTAAGGTCCCTACCAACTCAAACCATTCTGTGATTCTATGAAGTTCTCTCACACTGACCTTGTAACTTCCCATGATATTAGAAAATTAGAAAATCGAAATCTGCAGGTGCATAACCAAAAAAAAAAAAAAGTAGAAAAAGAATGGATAAGAGAAGACATACACAGAAGAAAGGTATCCTCTTACATCTGAGCCAGATGTTCAGAGACAGAATAGACATTTTGCCAGTGAGTTAGGTAGACACTGCTGACAGAGCAATTTGGTGTAACAGGTATGTCCTGAGTTTAAATTCCAAACTTTGGAAGAGGTCATGGTAAAGTGCAGTGACTGCTAATAGGTGATGTTGTATTGGGAGACAGRCAAATTTTTCTTTCATGAACTACAAATTTATCCTTGAAACTTAGTGGGAGCTGAGAGCTGTTGTTAAGTTGTCTGATCAGTGGTACCTTGTCCACCTTGTTTCCAAATGARTTGCAAGGCCAGTGGGATCTATCAGCTCTGAAGTCATTGCAAGTCAAAGGTGCTTTTCCTAAGATGCAGAGATATCCAAAACCTGACTGGACACAGCCTTGGGCAGCTGGCTGTAGGAGGCCCTGCCTGAGMAGGTRGATTGGACCAGATGATCTCCAGAGGTCCCTTCCCACCTGAACCAGCCTGTGATTCTGTAAATTAGGTCRTGTGTGATAAGGTACAACCTAAAACAACCCCTGGACTAACAGTGCTCAAACTGACTCCCTGTGGCAATGCACTTTGAACAGTGGTGGTTGAGTAACACCACTGCCCCAAAATGAAGTGCTGTTTAAATTACCCCCTCTTTCTCTGCTTGTTTTCAGGGAATTTCAGCTGGAACTAAGCAAGTCTGTTTGTCTATATGTCAACTTATTTTTCTGCTTTTTATCTCAGGACAATATGGTGTTCAACAATCACTGAAAGCTGACTGGCAGAGGTCTGCTGTGCTTKGTGYCTRGGTTMCACCTAAATTCATGGCATCACTCTYCCTACAATCTGGATCCTGCCACWGTCCTTAAATCCCCAAATTCAGGTCATTAGAAAGGTGTTGAAAATATCTATAATGCTATTACAACTTCTCTTAGATGCCACCAGAATCCTATTTGTTCTTCACTGGAGACACTACTGTTTTTACAAAAAATAAAGTAGAAAGAAACTAGTTAAGGAAGGAGACTATTAATTAGTACAAATATAATGTGTCAGGAACAAGGAACTGAAGAAATTAGAAAAAAGTTACATTTTTACTAAATTTGAATAAATGTTCATTTCTGTTTCAGAAAAAGAAAAACTGAAATTAAGAAAAAAAATACTTTGTATTACAATATTCTTAGGTCTAGATTTGGTTTGACACATTAACCCAGATTGTTTTGGACTATAAAGATATTGAAATAAAATTTGTGAAGCCAAAGTATTGCAGTGCACTGGGTCACTACTATGTTCTCCCATCAATTAGCTTCCAAACTGCTCCTCGCTCTACAGCACCTAAAGAGTGCTGAGTCTCTTTGACAAAGAGGATAATTTTCTGTTTAAGGAACAATTTCTCTGGGGACAGAATGGAAATAAAAAAGTATTTCTCCTCAGTATTTCAAGATGGTTTGTAGTGACACATAAAGCATTAAATGAATGATCTATGGAAAAGATGAAATCGGGGAAAGGCTGGCAGGTGAGCCTCAGGAATTGTGGCAGTTAGTGTAGACAAACACACTGGGATTTGGAAGCTTGAGCAAACAAGTTTGTGTCTGTAAAAGTGGGTTAGAAATTACGTAAGGACATACTTTCACATGAATGTCCTGGCAGTATCATTTCTGGGCAGACAGGCAGCCCTGGGAAAATAGCCATCCTCACTGCCTTTGGTGGATCTCTCTTCTAGGTCCAAGAGAAATCAAGGACTGAAATAGTACATGGACAAAGAGCATACAGAAAGGAAGTGTCAGAGTCCAGAACATCAGTGCTACATCTTGAACAAATATAGCATGTCTGTACATCAAGAACAAATATACCATGGCTGTTCACTTTAGTTTGTGAAGATGATACCAGTCCTGCACCCCACATGGTCCCCTTAATTTATTTCCACTGTTTGTCCTGTTGAAACTGGGAAACGCATCCCTGAGCTCTGGTSAACAAAACTATGAGCACAGATTTGAGAGGGCAGCTATGGAAGTGCACGTATGGATGTGTAATTTCTTGACAACTTTTCCTCTAGGAAATAAAAATGAAAAATACTAATAGATTTAAATAAATATTACTTTGATTTCACATACGAAACATTTCTTTGTTAAGAGCAGGGATAAAGAAGCAGGGATTTTTCAATCAATTTTGATAGTTTAAATAAATATTTTRTAGGAGCTGTAAGACTTTGTTAGTATTTGGACCCAAAATGAGTTTTCAAGGTGTGAGATTTTGTGCTTGTTACAGCAAGCACAAAGTCTCTTCCTTCCCTGACTCTTTTTCTGTTGTGTATCAGTGGCTGAGTTGGGGAGGGATCAGTAGCTCCTGTTCTGTGTGATTTTGGTCCCTTCCTAGCCAACCTAAAYGTTTCCTTATCAATCCCTCCCTAACAGACAGATCCCCTGGGAGATGCCACAGTTAGAATCACAGAATCATTTAGAAAGACCTCTGGGAAAGACCTCTGAGATCATTGGGTCCAGCCAGTGACCATTCGGTGGTGGATCTCACTTTTTGTGGAGGATTCAGGGCTTTTGGTTAGAGAAATTCCGCTTGTAAACAGACCAAATCCACATTGAATGCAACAGATTCAGTRACCCTGTCTGCTCCTAAAGTGGCCCGACAGTGAATCTTCCCAACAGGGTAGATTCCAACAAAGGCAGGCGGCCACCATCTGCTGTGACATCTGGGTCGGTGATGGAACAGCAGCACTCAGCCTCTCCCCCTCCTCAGCTACCGCTCCCCATCACGTCCCCATCCCTCCCCTCTGCTCTGCCCTCCCTCGGCGAAGCACCGGCCGTCCCTCCCGCCCGTGCCCTCCCTCGGCCGGCGGGGGCGGGCGCGCCGGGGCCGGGAGGAGGCGGTGCCTTATAGGGCGGGCGCGGGGGCCGCGCCTGCAGAGCCGCTGAGCCCGGCGATACCCTGGACAGCGCCTCGCCGCCGCTCCGCCGCCATGGTGAGTGTCGCCCGGCACCCCCTTTCCGCACATTCACRCATCCTCCCGGGGCCGGCTGTCTCGGAGCCGCCGCTGCCCCGTTGCCTCCCTGCCCCCCGCTCCTCCGGGGTCGGCGGAGAGCCCCCGCTGCCCGCCCTCCCTACTCCCGCGCTGCTACCCCCGCTTCTGCGGGCCACGGCCGGGGGGTGATTTGTCGTGGGCATGGCCTCAGCTGACCCCCAGCCACACGCGAGACACCCCAGCCACACGCGYGGGTCGGGCCGAGCGGCGGAGCTTGGACATTATAGGAAAGGAGGGAGGGACAGAGGGGTCTTAGGGAGCGGGGGAGGAGGGATGGGCAAGAGGGAGCCCCGGGGGCATCCGCGCAGCGCGGGGAGCCGGGCGGCGTGCGGGAACAGGCACGTGGAAGAACGGGGTCGTGGGTGGAGGGAGGGATGAAGACAGGGAGCAAGAGATGCCCAGTCCCTTGGCCTCCATCTCCCCGGGCCCCCTGCGACCTGCCCCCTCCGAGCAGGTGCATTCTGCTCTACTCTGAGGTGCGTTTGAGCGTGTTACATAAACCGATTATTCCCGTTAATTTGTTATCTTAATARAAGCTCCTGCGTTAGGCATGCAATCTGTAGTGGAACACTTTCCTTTTCCATTTAATGAATGAACAATGGAGTTTTAGATTCCAGTACAGCATTTAAAAGAGTTTAAGTGGAACAATGAAGTCACCTATTTAGTGAACAAGATCGATTCCCCATAGCACATTGTGTCTTTGCAATCATAGTAACTTTCCCAGAGGGGCTCATCCTGTTTATAAACAGCAGTGCATTAAGTGTAATGCCAACCTTACAAAGTAGGATGCTATCAAGAAATATTTTGCAGCCTTAAATTCTGAGGCACGTTGGGATGAATAATTTGACAAAGCATATTGTATCAAAAGCTTGAGACACGATTAACAACAGAGCCTAGTTTTTCTTTAATACAATTTAACAAAACAAATACTTCCTCCCACCCCCCAAGTCTTTGCATCATAGATAGTAAATTCTCTCTTCCTTGAATAAAAATCAATTGAGATCCTCCCTCCCCCCGTAAATCCAGACATGAATAATAYTCAAATTGTCATTCCATGAATGGAGTCCTCTTTCTAAAAGTTGTGCATCCACCTGCTGTCAGTCTAAATCTGTTTCTCCTGTGTRTTCTATTTGCCACCAGCTCGGCCTTGGGCTGATAGATATGAGAAGACCCTATTGAAAAGACCTGAAATGGTGCCGTAGTTAATGCTGCCTAAGGCCCCTTAGAGTGACCCCCCCCCCCCACTACACAATTGAATTTCAATTTCTTGTCAATTTGGAATATAAACACAAAAGCTATGACTAAATTACTATAGCTGCAAAAAGCCTAAGTTAATATAGCCAATCGTAGTGTCTTCCTTRTGACAAAGGAAGAAGGTTACAAAGATACCAGGTGTTTCAGAAGGWAATGTACATTATTTATCAGTAGTTGGTACAACTAATGCCCAGGTGCTCAGGAGTACTGAGGCAACTGGAAAGAAAGTTAAAATACCCTGAACTAGTTAAGATATTTCATTTTGATTCCTCCCAGGACTGAGATGAAATCAGTTATGCTASTGCAAATCAAGGAAGCATTAGCTGGTAACATAGGCATTGGCAACTTGGTACCAATGGAAATTATAGCCAAGACCTACCTTTAATCTGTTCTTTCTGGTTCTTAGAGATGTTCAATTAACCTCGACAGTTTTTTTGAAATGGCTGGAAGCAATATCCAGAAATCACCATTCAGAGCTACACATGGGTTTGGATTCACAAGTTTTGCTCTTCTGTATGTCCAGTAACCTTAGTGTTCAAAAGTTGCTGACATTTCCCAAGCTTTGTTACTCACACATAAAGGCATTCTGAAGAAAGAATTGCCAATCTGAGAAAATCCTTAAAGATGTATAAAGGCTGAAGGTTGCTTTGGCTCTAAAAGTTAGAGAGAGTGTCCTTGGAATAAGTTACTGAAATGAAAACCTGAGCTATTGATGAAAGCTGTTGCAATGATGCTAATACAGGGTTAAAAGTTATACCACATTGATTTCTAGATGGACCTGGAGCTGGGGGCATGGGGTCATGGGGACTTTGGAGTGTACTTCCAAAGGTATCAGGAGCATATGTAGATTTTTGGCCCAAGTGKTGGGAACGTTGACCTAGCATTCCCTTCTTTAGTGGCAAAGAAATAAGTAGGTGTATGTTGCTAGTGTGCTTTAAACTCAACTGAGAGTTTTGTCAGCATCCTGGTTGCTCAAAAATCACTATTATTTGTAGAAAATAGCACAGAGAAACTTTTTTTGTTGTTTTGAAACTACMTTTTGCTGAAGCAGCAAACCACTGCCATCATAAAGCATTATTTCCTCAGCATCCTCACTGTGTGAGGGCAACCACAGTGGGTTGTCTCTTCTGTTTATGTAGTTCACTGCAGCCCTCCTTGCTTCAGTGAATCTAGGTCAAATTACACTGGCTCAGGATTTGGCTGCACCCTTGAACTTTAAACCGATTACACATTTTGATTTGTCAGTGTATTTTCCATGGGGTCAAATCCCACTTTTATGGAGTAAGAGAGTGTGTAACATTGGACAGTCGTGACAACTTATGCTTACAAAGACACTAGGTAGCACTTAGGTAAGCATAAACATTAGGACTGTATTTAATAGGTTCCAGTATCTATACAAGTATCCATGCTARAGGGATAGAGAGAAGCTAGAATATATTTTTCATTTCCTTCAGAGTCTTTGATACCTCTGTAATCTGAAGTCAACACAGAAAGAGCCCTAACTCTTCTAAGCATTCATATGGCCACCATATCAAGATATGGAYCTTGATATGGGCATGCACTGATTGCAGAACATACACAAAGGGCCCTAGAGAGAGCAACAGATGTCTCGTTTTTGTTGACAGTAGCAAAAATAAACCCCTGTCTCATTGTCCATTGGTGTTTGTCAGTAGTTCTGAATACTCCATGAGAAAGGGTATTGCAAAGACAGTGTTCTAGCCCCTGAACAGTGACAGGCAAACTGGAAGAAAACATTTTTCTGCAGACAGAGCTGAATTTTCAGCACAAATCCCTGATAACACAACATCCAGTGCTACAGCACCCACAAGAGCTCTAAGAGAGTGAAGAGGGAACAGACTTCAGCAGCCCTGCCATCCAGAACTGTAGCAGAAAGGCAGGGGTTTGCCAGCTGACACAGAATTAATAAGCTATTATTAAACATGCTGAGAAACTGCGTATCGAACAGAAATAATAGACCCTACTTGCATAGAAACTGAAGAAGAGGCTCTGAAGCCTTTTGCACATGGTGGAATTGATTAGGAAARAAGCCTTCCAGGAACTGAAGTAAGAATCCACCGTTTTATTTGCATAGCTTCAGATACCTGTTTACCAAAACCTGCATGCTGCCCCTGGTGTTGATCCATTTCATCTCTAGGAAGATCCYTTGATTCTTCAGGGCTGATCATTGTATCTTCATTTACATGCAGTCTGACTTGTGAAAAGAAGGACACTCCTATTGTTCATCAGGCACTCAATTTTACATTCATTTAACTTTATAGCGTCTCTTGATTTTATTGAAGGAAAATATCAATCATATGCAAACACAGTAAAACTGAATCTCTGACTCAATCCAAAGTTGGGGGGAAAACCAGCAATACTATTTTCTTTAGGTATTAGTAAACTCCAAAGTAAGGCAAATGTAAAGTGCTGGTTTATTCTCTGACCTAAGCCAGCTTCAAGTGTAAACAATTTGAATAACATAATATTTCTTCCTGCTGCTTTCATGCCATGCTATATGAGAGTTTTGTTCATCACTCCCTGTAAAACCGACTTAGAAGCTGAGGCATTGATAAGCCTCATACAAACTGAGTCTGAAGTTTATATTAAATGATAAAGTAATATGTCACAAGTGAGCCTGACTTGGAATTAAAGAAGGTGATGAATAAGGGAGGGAAATTAGGAGGATGAAACTAAGTGCATCACTGGWTGTTCCAGCCAGGAAGCTGCTGGGATGAGCCTGCCTTGTGAGGCAGTGGTGGAAAGGTACAAGAAGGACTGACCATCTGTAATGGGGAAGAAACATCCTGGACGTGCAGCCCTGCCACATTTTAAATGCCACACTTTTTTGTGCACATCAAATTTATCAGCTAATTTGTGAGTGGCTGGCAACAGTGGAGCTTGTAAATCTGTCATCTACATACACCCTCCATGGCTTGCCTTATTATATGTTAAATTCATGGGCCACAATATCTTTATCCACAGGACTGCTGCACAGCTACGTGTAGAGTACAATATGAAATTAAGTGAATATTTATGACTTCTGTGGGGCTTCTTATCTACCTAACAGCAAAAGCCACTTTTAATTTTTGAGGACTAGTAAATTCAGATTTAGGAAAGTAAGAAAAATTCTTTACATCTTCAAGAAATGAAACCATGATATTGGCATTAATACTGAAGGTACTCTGACCTGACGTCAGTCTAAAAACAACAGTCATAATTTAAAATATTGAGTTCATCTAGCTAATGACTTTTAAACTGCAGTGCATTTCCTTTCTCTCAATCAAAACTGACTGTGATAAAGTGGTAAAGGTCAGCTCTCCCATACTGAAGGAAATCCAACCCTCTCTGGTAGAAATTTGTATACAAAGATGTGTAATTAGAGAATAAAAAATTAAGATAATTTTAGTCATTGTCTGGAGAGGTTTGGATTTTTTTCCCCGTAAGGAGGACGGATATGAAAATGAAGCAAGTTTGTATTCTGTGTCATCATTTGGAAACCRAACACAGCAAGAAATGGAAATCAGAAGTAGGGTGACCAAGTGTTAAATAAATATCCTAAACCCAAGCATAAAGAGCCATAACCAAACTATTCTTCCCATAGTTCTTAAAGAAGCTCCTACAGGGTGCTTATCAGCAGTCACCATTCATGGCACTTTGCAGCCAGCGAAGACAATGTGGTACAGCAA